TCAGACTGCTGCGCGGGCTGAAAGCACCTTGGAGGTAGAGCCAAGAAACAGGGCTGGCTGTTCCCCTGCTGATTTCACTGCCTTGCAGGACCTGAGGGCCGTAGCCAGGGTCAGTGTTTTTTCCCAGGGGTACAAGAAGGTGTGATGACGTCTGAGAACACCAGTCACAACCCTTGCTAGGGACCAGACCCTGGTGGGGGGGTGGTGGATCCAAGCATCCTTGGGATTTTATTCATCGGGACTTTTGCGAGACTGTCCCACAGCTGCATCTCGGGATCTGCGGTGTCTGTATAGAGAGAGGTAGTGCGGGGGCTGAAGCGGGGGGTCAGCAACTTCTCCCCCTCCCCTGTGCCCACTCCTCTTGCTTTGGTGCCACCTGTCCCAGCTCTGGCCTTCTACGGTTTCTTGTTTGCTGGCTCTGTTGTATACATCGGTCTGCAAAGTACTTTTTGCTAAGAGCAGGCCAGTTGTGTAAACTGCGTGCGTTTGCACCGGGGGTTGGCAGAACGTTTCTGAAGGAAAGGATGTGGTTTGCCATTCGTGTCACGCTGCTGCGTCCTCCGAAAGCGCTCTCTTCACCTGCCTGCAGTGCACAGGGCGCACCTCTCATGGCTCAAATCAGACCTTGCCCGGTGGGGCTGCGGCTGGGTGGGTTCGGGGCTGTTTCTGCGGGTGCCGTTCTGGGGGGTTGGGACCTGCGGCGACGTTGAGCCCCGTGGGCTCCAGCTCTCCCAGCAAACGCTGGCACGGCATCAACCCTCGCCAGCCAGCTCTGCTCCAGGTATGGCTGGGGGTCAGCTCACCCTGGGGGTCAGCTGTCCGCATCGACACCCCGCTGGGGAGAAGGGCATCTAATAGTGTGGACGCGTGGGTGTAGAGTTAATAGTAGGGTACAGGTGTTAATGTGCTGCCTAACCTCAGGGCCTGAGGGCAGTCCCAGGCCTGTTGAATTGACTGATAAAGCGGTGGCCTCTGTGGAGTTCATGGGGACTTCATTTCTGTTAAGTTGGTATTATTACAAACTGAGCCATTCCGAAAGACGACTCTTTCTTAAACCAAGTGGAAGATTATGTGACTGTGCCACCAGACCGAGAGGTTTTGCATTGTCTGTGGAAGCTGAGCATTATCAATCAGCATTATCAATTATTATCAGAGAAAGATGGGCAGTCGCTAAGACAGACTCCCAGTCCTTTTGTTGTTTCAAAGCCAATTTTCTTTGAAAGGCTTTTTTTTATTGGTTGCAGTAAGAAGCCACAGGTACTGAACCGAATTGTATGCACGCTGCAGTGATCTTGCTTCATACATAGGGAATTCTGTCTTGGACCATTCTGGCAGAGGGAAAAATCTGGTGAGTCCATTTCTTTGAGTTTTTAACCTGAAGGCGGGGCAGGGGCAAAAGGCAAGGGAAGAGGTATAGCGATATAGATATAAATATATAAATAAAAATTGCATAGGATTTAACTGGGCCTCAGTTGACAATTAATGACTCCAGCTTTCCAACAGTCACAATTAAAATTTTAAAGACCAGCAGCTATAGTTTATAGTGTTGTATAAATGCAGCGTTTCAAGGTGACTGTCACAACGCATAGCTTGCTCCAAAGTCTCCGATTTTAGCAATCTTTGTGACAGTAATTACTGTGGCTCATTTGCAGGGAGGAACAACCTCTAACAGGGCGTATATAGAGAGACAACTACATTTAAAACCAGTGTTTTAACCTCCAAGTCTAGGGTAATTTACTGGAGGCAACCTCGGGCAGCTTTGCTCCAGAGGGACTGTTCCTCGGGACTTCATGGCACGGCCCTGCTGAGAGGGGAGGTGAACCTGGAAACAAAACCTTGTACTGTCCCTTCCGCGGTCCTCACGGATGTCAGTAAAGGCACACTGCCACTGGTCACAGCACCTGTAATTTATGATGAATCTTTACTTTCAGTCTTTTTTAGGGGAAAAAAGTTTAACATGTCTTTTAAAAACATTACATTATGAGTTGGCAAGAGGTTATACAGTACATTTGATAAACCTTTTCATGTGAATTTCGTGCAATTTCTTCTGCTTGCCTAAGTATTTAAGCAGGAATTTCTTTTGGCACAGTTAGTTACCTATTTATTAGAGTTTATATAATTTATATCTTATTACATTTTTGTTGCTAAAACCCTTTATTAAAAGGAGGGGTTCTTCATAGGAAGACCTGAGGCCCTATTCTCATCTCTTTCTAGGCTCCGGTGCGAATGACAGGAGCTGCTCTGTCCTGGCTGAGGTGTGCGGCTGCACGGAGAGAGCTGGACAGGGGTCGTCACACCAGAACCAGGGACCGACCTCGCCTTCCCTCTTCGGAAACACCGAGAGAAGGTGACAGCACGGCGCGGCAGGGCACAACCAGCTCCAGAGGTGAGGGACCTACAGCCACAGCAGCTGCTTCAGAGCCAGACTCACAGACTGACCTCAGTGTCCCCCGGCAGCGGAGCCTTCAGGTGGGTGTTAACGAGGCTTTACAGCAGCACTTGGCTGATTGTTAACGATGATGTGCATTCACGGACACCCCACAGCCTCCCCCGGTCACCCCAGTACTTCCTTCCCTTTACCTTCTGAATTTATTCAAATTCTGGGTTCTAAGGGCCATTTGTAAAGGGGCAAAAAACTCCTTTGGTCTTGCATAGATAGGACACAGATTTCTGTTTTTAACCAGGGAGTCTCAGAAAGCTGGAGTAATACATGGTCAAGACCAGCTTCATCCACGTTTTGGAACCAGACCAAAATGTGTTAATGGTGTTAGACGCCCAAGAATTTAACAGTTTGTGCGGGTCCAGTAGTGTGTGTGGAACTACGGGAGCTGCTGCTTCTTGTAGAATGGACATTTTATATTGCAGCAGCTCTGAAATTACCTGTGAAACTGTTCTTAGAAAAAGCTAGGTTGAAAATTGTCATTCTTCCTTTTGAATAATACATATAATGTTTTGTCATATTATAGTGAAACTGTACCTTTATTTTTAAATCTGGTAACAAGAGCTACTTCACTTTGGTTGCATTGTTATCTTTTGGTTCATTTCACTGCAATAAAAATGAGGCTTTTGATCAAGAAATGAAAACAACATTTCCAATTAGTAGCAAGTAACAGCCTCCTTTACTGATTACTTTAAAATAAGGACAAGGTATTTCAACTATTCACAAATACTTCTGACATATTACAAAGTAACATAAGAGAAAACGATCATGATCATATTTGAAGGAACGTAGTTTAAAAATGTTTACAAACGCACTGTTTATTCATTTTCAAAATGTTTGTTGATACAGTTTTGCAGGAAACTTATCAGTTTGGTTAAATAAACTTCCGCTCTACATACTGTGCTTTGTCCTAGGTGTCAAACTGGAAACATATTTTCAAAAGAGTACTTTGTCAGAAACAGGGGTTTCGAGTATGACCTCTAAGGGTCTTGCAATTCTGTCTCTGTGGACTTTGTGCAAGGCTTAACGTGAATTTTTTTAATGGTGGTTTTATTACATGATTTGAAGATAACATTTATTTTACATTGGATTTAAGTATTTAAAAGATCTGAGACCTATTTCTTCGATATGTACATTTTTGAAGCTTTAAGGCTGCACCACTAACAACATTTTATCAATCTTTTTTTATTTTCTTAAGTGTCACGATTACTTTGTCAAAATTTAGAATTGTTAGCAGCAATGATGGTGATGTTCCTCATTTAAAAAAAAAAAAACCAAACAGAAGAATTCCCTGGGAAACTGCACACCACATGCATGATACATAACTAAAAAATTAGTCCAAAGTTCTGATCAATATTTAGTTCCAGCTAGAGCTAAAAGTTGTCCTAGTTCTACAGAACAAAATGTTTATTATATACAGCAGGGTTGGATGGAATATGGACACTTGACAAAGATCACTCAAGGCATTTCATGGTCTGAATTGTTCGTACAGTATTAACGCAGCCGCCCTTTTTCTTACGTGTAGGCTTGTGCCACCTGCGGGAAGGGACCGTTCCTGGTCGTGTCAACGGGCTCAGCCTTACAAGATGGAAGTCACCTTCTCCGGGCTGCTCCCTCTTCAGCTGCACCAGGAGTTCCTTGCAGGATTGAGAGGTCTTCAGGGCTCGCTCCTGAGCTAAATGCAAACTCGTACAGCGTTATCAGATGCCAGTCTACATCAGGTGAGGGTTTGGTCTTTTGCCTTCAGCATATTACAACATGAAAAACTGCACAAGCATTTTTCAAAGAGCACCATTAATTGACTTTGGTAATGCAGCTATTGGCACGACCAGCGGGAGCAAAGAATACGCTGAGCTCCTCTCTTGTACAAGAAAGCACAGCTGCCAACTACCTTGCAACTAGAGTCTGTAAATATTAAATACGTTGGTAACCATACACATATACACAAAACACAGCAGTAGCAATATTACAGGATGCAGTGCCTACACTATATAACTGCTTGTCGTTAATACAGATACAACACCAAAATAAATGCTATTTAATATGAAGCAAACCCTTCTTCAAAGGTCAATGGCAGTAAGCCAAAGTTCAGGTCCAGGCTTCTGCTAATCTGAGGTGACTCTGAGGGCAGATCAATCCCACTGTCTCTCAAATCTAATCAAGGAAAGAGCAGCCCTATGGGAAGATAACAACTATCAGTTAACACTAAAATTTTCTGAGCTGGAGCTTTCTTTTGCCACCACTTGTAATTAATTCTCCCTTTTTCAGAAGTGCTCTTTGTGTAAGTACTCACCAGGCTTAACAGGGAATAGAGTTATTACACACAAAATAGGATTTAGGGGCAAGGATTAATAGAAACAGCCAGCATGGGATTGGGGTTCCTGAATCCTGGGAGGTGCTCTCCATGTTTTTAAGTGAAGTTTCAGTGAGATTGCACTTAGCAGACCACAAAGAAATTGTCACTCTCCACCTTCTTTTTTGTGCAGTTCTGTTTCAAAGCCTGGTACACAGTAGCACAAGAAAGGCTAGAGGAGATGACCCTGCTGGTCCATTGTCTTTGCTAATGCTCTTCAGAGCAGCGTCCTCTCCGCAAGATCACATCGTCTAGTCCAATATCCCCAGTTCTTCCTTTCCCCTTCTCCCCTTTGAAAATAACCTGGGAAGAGAAATAGAACAGCTTGAGTGCCAAAATAAAGTAAAATGAAAGAAGCTTTGGTTCAGAAAGGTCTCAACAGTAAGAAACCAAAAGCAGAAGCTCGCTCGGGCAGTTGTCACTGACTCACAAAAACCTATTTATTCTGCTCAGAGTTATGGCTGTGGCTTCTATTTCTGATCCTCTCCCTTCTTCGCTTCTTTGGCAGGAGCTTTGTGAAGAACAAGCAGCTCAGGACAGAGTTGTTCCACTTGCACCATCTGCCGAGGTGAGATGAACTTCCACATCAGAGAATCTCGGGTGCTTTCTGCCTATCATCTCTGCCTTGTATTCACTGTCCCTCATGGCAAACATAAAATTCTCTGTATTCTGGAAAATGTCTAATAGAGCAGCTTTCCATTGCAGCTGCCTTAGTTGTGGGAACTAGAAACGCCCATCTTTTATTTAACAAATTCTGGCTCCTGCAGACTCATGGTAAGCTACAGAAGCACCGGCTCCTCACAAAATGGTGGCAGAAGTTTGGGCATGGATTTACACAGATCGTTAGCAGTCCAGATTAAGCCTGAGCAGGGGAAATCCAACAAATATGAAGCTTGACTAGAAGGTCTGGAGCACAAATCAGAGATTAAGAAACACTTCCTGTAAATCAGTATTGCTCACCTGTACTACTGCTGTAGATTCAGAAGCCTGAACTCTTTAATACGGTCAGTGTTTTTGTCCATGGCTTAAAAATTCTTCAAAGCCCTCAGCAGAACTTCGTTAAGAGTCTGCTGTTATCATTGAGCTGGAAAGAGTTAATAGAGATTCACAGACCAGAAATTCAGTGGTGAAAAATAATTTGGATGCTTGATGAAAGCACTCTTTTAAATAAGGAGTAGGAACAGAGGAGGTCAGAGAAACTCTACGTTGAATACACTGAATTAATTTTTTTAGTAATGACTGATTTTGGGTGTACTTTAGAAATAATTTGCACAGAACTAATTCATTAGAAAGTGTGATGAAGGATTCTGGTCTCCATTCATATTCTCCTCGGGTTTCCAGTAGGCCCCCCATTAAATCGGTTATGGTGGGCAAGCCCTGCGGGCAGCTACTGCTGAAGTGGTCGGGAGAGGCAGGGGACAGTGCAAAGGGGAACTGCTCATCTTCTTTGGGGTCTCTCAAACTCATTTTTTTTTCTTTTAAATAGATATAAAGATACATATAAAATATAAATATATTTAATGAACTGCTGTATCAGGTGAGACAGACCTGAGGATTGCCAGAAGTGTTAAAAGAGAAAAAGGGTAAGCACGTGGCAAATACGTTGTTCACCTGTTCTAAATCTCCACATTCATTTACAGCTCACAGAAGGTCAGGCATCTTTGTTACTATTGCTGAGGTAAAGTTTTTGGAAAATTGTCTGCAGTAATTACAGCTCTAATATTAATTTTAGAACTATAGACTACGTGTGGGCGTTATAGCCTGCTCCCACCATGAACATTATGAAGCGTGAACTCTTTAGACCACCTGATATCTAAGTAAGTCAGAGCAAAACAGGCTCTGAAGTACCCAAGCCCCTCCTTCAGACCTGAAATAGAAACTACCTTCAAAGATAAGCAGAGGTCGAAGAAAAATGCTGAGCTTTTGATATCGGTTTATCACCCAATGTTTCTAGGATTTCCAGGTATTAAAAGATTCTCCATGGTGCTTCAGACAGCTTCTTTTGACTGCGCTCAACCATTTTGTGTTATTGGCATAGTTAGGTCAACATTGGCCAGATCAGCTGCAGGTATGCTGAAGAGCATAAAACCATGTGAGATTGCACATGTAACCTCCCTGCATTATCAAAAATTATTTATTTTCAACATCTTTGCCCTGGTTTAGCCAGTTACTAATCCACAGGGGATGATGCTTCCTATTTCATGGCACTGTATTATTTTAAAGCAGGAGAAGTCTCAATAAAGGCTTTTTGGAAATCCAGGTACAGTACGCCATTGTCCATTAGGCTGCTCTTTCCTACATGGTGATTCCCTTAAAAGAGGCTGCACAAGGTAGCTCAGTGCAGGCCCTTTTGTAGTTTCCTATGTGTCTGTTGCTGTAGGTAGGATTTATTTTTTTTTGCATAAAACTAATTTGAAAAAAAAAATGCACAATGACTCTCTTATCCTTAATGTGATTCCACTGGCAGGGGTCAAAGTAGAAAAACAGAGGCTGAAAGTGGAGCCAGAAGACAAACAGTCCAGTGCTACACTAAGTGTCTTCAGCGTCTCATGCAAAAAACCCCAAAAGGCAGCACATGTGTCGGTACTTACACTCTTGAGGCCTAGTCCTCGTAAAGTTATGTGTGTCTGTCTCCAGCCATGGCCACCATTTCTTCCCCAAACGGCTGGTCCGTGAGCACCGGTTTTCCTTACAAAGACTTGGAGGGCACCAGAATGTGGTCCAGGAACCTTATGCCTGAACGACAGGCACAAGTCGCCGGCCTGAGCCGTGGGACCCAAGGGCAGGATGAGATGTGCGACCCCTCCTTCTTTGCCTGTGGGGTCAGAGATGGTAAGATACTGTCCCCCTGAAAAAGAAAAGGCGGTTAGTTTTTTGATGTTGGGTTTTTTTCCCCTCATTCTAATGTGTTGCAGGACCAAATGCACAAGAGTCATTAAAAAATCAAAAAATGAAAAAGGGCTCCACAAGGTCCAGTGAGCCTTAAATAAGGGATAGACAGAGGTGCAGGAACATGAACCAGAACCAATGGATCTGCCTCCTGTGGGGTAAGAGTTACAGTGCTGGTCTTCTGTTCACATTAGTACCGCGTTAGGTCTTGTCCATCTCATTTTGTTTTTACAAAGCAAATAATACTTGTTTTGAAAACGCAAATTCCATGTATTGCTTCATTTCTGACGAGCCCTTGGTGACTGCACGGTTAGAGCTCCTGTGTACCTTTATGGGGACCTGTAAGTTGCAGTTGTCTGCTATGGGACAGGTGAAGGAGAAGGCCAGAGTCAATGTTATCATCTAACTGAGCTACGGTTCTGTCCTTGCCTTTCGTTTGGGACTTGTGTTAAGTCTCAAAGTGTATCCATCTGCAAACATGGATACCCTTTTTATTTAGCCATAATTTAAACTCTTAATCTGGATTCGATACAGAAAGCTAGAAACAGTAATGATTTCCAAATGGCTGTTAACTTGATAGACTCCCTGAAGTCTTCTCTAACGGTACTAAGTTGTCAGTGAACATACATACTTAATTCAAAACCCTACTATTATCTCCGATCATGTAGAAAGTAAAGCTGCCTTCATAAAAACACCCAGAACATGAAAAGTAGAGGATGTCAGGTATGGCAATATCCATTAAACAAACAAACCACCCAACCCACCAAACCAAACAGGCATATACTTCCGTAAGTCCCACGCGCCCATTCACACAGGCACTTAAAAATACAGTAAATGAGACTTCGTATCTTGGAGAAAACCCACACCTGTATTTTTCCTTTGTACTTTTCATTAAAACTTTTCCAAGGTGGATGATAGCTTTAAAATTTGAAATTAGCAGAGGGAGGAGGGTTCACTTTGAAAAAAAATAAATAAAAAATCTTATCTTTCTCTGAACCTAGGAATTATTTTTTTTTATGAGATCAGATTTTTTAATCTTTTTTTAATCAAAAAATCAAGGTTTAATGAACTTAAGGCAAAGGTGGCTCCTTAGTTGAAACCAATGATATAGAAATATTGGAGGTTTGTAATATTATTGGCATACACAGTCTTTACTTAATTATAGGATAGAAAAATATTTTTCAGTTGAATTGTTGCCCTGCTACTACTCACCCGGAGCTTTATTTTTTGAAAGCTGCTTTTTGAAAGCCACAATGATTTCCCTCAAAAGCTGTGAGACTTAATGACAGTGTACCAGGGCTTGTCACACACTCAAAAGGAAAGCCAACCTTGTCTCCAATTCACTATTTCTACGCGGGTTCTTAGGTTCTTTGGCCTCAATGAGATTGAACAAAGCCAAGTATTATGCTGCTGTCTGGGGCCCCAGATCTGCGTTTGGGCATGAAGTGAGATCCATTTGTCCAAGGATCTATTAAAGTTTTTTGGGTTTGTTTCGGTTCAGTATTTTGTTTGGTTGTTTTTTTTTTAACGCATTGTTTTTGCATCAAAGTCACTAAAATAAGCATAACAGAGTTTAAGTAACTGCACCTGTTTGTTGTAGATACAAGTCTATCACTACAAAAGTACTGACTTGACTCATTAACTGCATCTGTTTCAGATAGTTACAGTGACTGAATCCAATCAATAGGAAACAGATTTAGGTAAGCACAAAGCCAATGTATCTGTGGGCAAGCCCCTGCAGGAGAAGGTCCCCTCAAATCAGCATTTTGTGCGTGCAAGATAAGCTTATAAGGCTTCAGCGTGGCACCTTTCAAAATGCAGATTCTGATAAACCAATAAATAGCAAACTTTGAAAGGTGAAAGCAAACACTGGGGAACAAGCTGTGAAAATAAATCCTTGCAACAAGGTATTCCAGACAGGAGGGAGGGGGTGGGGGACTTCAAGGGACTAGTTTTAACAGGTTCTGTCAACAGCAGCAGAACGTATGCAGGAAATAAAAAGCTGAGATTGTCCCTGACTGGGAAGCAATGCAGGAGAGAAAAAAAATAAAAAAAGTCTAAAAAAAAGCCAGTTAAAAATCATAGTTCTGGAACTTACTGTGTATTAACAACTATTTTTGAGTACAGATAATGAATGAGCTTTGAGTGACTGACTTTCTCAGAAACAAAGCGTTTTTAAATCCAAGCTGTTTGAATTGTGTGCGATCTTTTTCAGAACGCCGCCCTGCTCGCAGGACCCAGCTCCCCGTTTCCTCGCCGGCCGGGGGAAGGAGCGCTGCTCTCCCAGTCTTTCCTGGGCACAGGCCATTCCAGAGCACACCTTCGGGTGGGGAGGGGGCCGGCCCGGCGAGTGAAGACAGCACTGCCCCTGGAAAAGGTACGGGGTCACCTCCTGGGATGGCAAACTCAGCAGTGGCAGCGCAAGGACATCTCCGGTGAGGTGGTGCGCAAGGAAAATGGCTCTCTGCGCCCTCAGCCTCCCTCAACTTAACCTGTAACGTTTTACCGCCTGAGCGCGCGTTTCCTCCCCAAGTCCGCCATCCCCTCAGATAACGTAAGCATTGTGCACTTCAAAGGCTGCTCTTCTGGGTCTGAAGTAATCCCATCGTTACGCGGAGCCAGAGATGTGTGTCTAATCCCCGGCGCTGTGGGGGGAAGGGTATGCAGGCAAGGCCAGCCAGCCTCCCAGTGCCATCCAGTAAAACCAGCAGGGGACAAAATACAACCCAGTGCCAGCAGTGCAGATGGACAGTTCTGCTGGGACTACAGCGGCCGAGGCGTGGGAGCGGGAGGGGTTCCTGCCTTGGCTGACCACCGGTGCCAACACCAGTCTTCTCCTGTCCTCCAAGTGGCGAGTACACACGCTCCCCGCTCAAATTCATTCACCTCTCACCATCCCAAACACACCCATTTTCAGAAGTCTGTGCATATGAGCACCTAACTTCTCTTCCTTCCTGTGATTTAACAGTTGTCCTATATACAGGTTGCTGTAAGTTGGAGTAAAATTCAATAAAATTAAACTGGAACATTATATTTGGCAGCAGAACAAAGACTATTTCTATAATTTTGCTGATAATACAGAAATAATTATGTTTGTGTGGTAGTTTGAAAAATAAGCTTTGTTTCACCATAAATAAAAGTTGTTCTCTAGTCCACATTTTTGTTGTTTCTGATTCTTTTAAGACAGATAATCTTTTACTGAGTACATTTACTACTCCTTCAGAGACATTCCTCTTGTAAAGATACCAGCTATGATAAAAAGTGCAAATTCTCAATTGCTCCTTCATGTTGGGAATCCCTCTGTTTGTTTTGATTTTTTACACACAGAAGAGGTGTGGGTGTGAAGTATATCCCAGAACCAAAGGGAACAGAAGCTGTGTAAATTCATCAAAACGTGAGAACTGTCATCAGCCTCAAGGCTGGGTGGTTTTTCAGGTACAGGATGTGATCGTACACAGGTAGCCGTCCTACCTGACGCATCTCTCACTGGTTCCCAGTGGACGTCGTCATCTTTGTCCTTGATCCACCCGCACAGTCCGCTATCAAAGTTACAGCTGTGCACCGGCACACCTAGGCAGAACAGAGCAGAAGGTCAAAAAACCAACGTGATTTGGAGATTGTTTTGGTTGAGGGACTACAGCAGTTGCTCTTGTGGCTGACAGGAGCAAGTAAATATGGAAATTAAATGCAGCAGAAGGAGCACTAGAAAAAGAATCTACAAAAATACTAAAATAATAGAAAGGATGCTAGTGTTATTATTAACAATTCACACTATTTTTGTGCTAAATCTGTTAGGAAATAAAACTCCATAAAAGTTCACTTAGGTGGTGAGTTTTTTTCTTTGTAAAAAGCATCATTTAAACAAGGGCCACAAGATGTAGGAAGCCTGTAAAAATGTATAAAAACCCAAGAAATCTCAAAAAAATCCCAAACCCTAGGCCCTGAAGAGGAGGCGTGATCTTTACCTGGGTCATCGTTTGCTTCAAATTCATCGGCGGTAATCCCTCTTTCAATTTCAAGTATTTCAAACAGATTATTGCTCACTCCAGGCTGGCGGGGAACTGCGAGAAAAACAGTTTTTCAGAAATGAATGAGATAAGGAAGTAGATCACTAACTACCTTTATCTTTAACAAAAAACAGCAGAGCAGCGCTGGGCATTGTGCTTTTCTTGGAGAAGTCAATATGTTTAATTATATCTGACATGAAGATTCATAAACTTTATGCCTATGTGATTTATGATTTATGTTGTAACATTTATCTGAGCACTGTAAAAAGGTGATTCCAAATCTGCTAAAGGCTCTTCAAATGAAAGCGCCTTTTTAACCAGGGAGGGGGAAGCAAAAAAAAGCTTTAACCTGGCAGCACAGTATTCCCCTCCACATGCACTTTTAAAGATAGTGGTTTCTCAATAAAATAAAGCCACACTAAAGCCCTTGCTCACCCTTTCCTACCCACTCACCTTGCCCAGATGTTGATAGGAGAACCTCAACAGGAGCAGCGGTGTTCGGAAGGGGCCCCACGCACACCCACCCTTCGACGGTACGTCCCTCTGTCTGCGCAGGATGAGCGCTCCCTAAACCATTACCGGGATTGTACCGGGAGCTGAGAAGGAAGAGCTGGAGGGGAAGCTGGAATTCAACTGTAATTGTACTTTTTGCTTTCCAACGCAGGCTTTCCTTCAGCTGCTGGAAGGAATGCGCTCGGGGATTAACGACGGGCCCGAAGGTTATGAGACATTCAGCAGCCAGAACAACCTGAAGTTTAAGAGGTCGTTGTGGGAACGACGGCTGCCAAAGTCAGGTGAATACAAAGGCTTCCACTCGCTTCTGAAAATGCTGTGCCAGGCTCAGTCTCCAGAAATAACACACCGATGTCATGCCTGACGGACAGCTGTCAACTAGAGGTAAACAGCTCGCACTGGATAGAGCTGTCTTGGAAATGCCTCTGTTTGTTAGAGGCAGGTCTAGCGCATCATTAATAACAGGAGTAATGTGTTTCAGACACGTCCTTAGATGTTATGGACACCTCCGACACCTGTGGCATTTGTAAGGGCCTTATCTAGTAAAAACTTGACATGTTTCCCATTTGCAGTGCTAAAATAAGTACCTTAGCGTCTCTGCGGGCTTCTTGGGCAAGCGAGAACAAAAAGAATTGAGATGATTTACAATTCTAAATGGAAAAAAAGGGCTGCTGTTTTCAGGAAATCAAATCAAAGGTAAAAAGGAACTTCTTTTGCGCTAGGACAACATGGAAATAGCAGGGCTGCAAGAGCTCCTCTAAAGCCAGAAGACAGAGGAAAACGAAAAATAAGAATGAAGTAGCTTCCTGCTTTTTGGAATTAGGACAAAATCAGCAGCCTGACAGAAGGTCGACCAAATGCTAATGTATTTTAAAAGTAATATTACCAGCTACAGATCTTGGATGGAAATGTCGTATAATAAAAATAGATAAATAAAAAGCTTGAAGCCTGTAGGAAACTGCTTAACTCCTTAATATTATAGTCATTTTTGGAATTGTTGCATCTCTTCTTTTTTTTTTTTCCCCTGTGTTTTTTTTTTTTTAATCCTTTGTAGATTTTGGATTTTGTCTCTTTGCAGTCTAGGATATTAATGCTCAAACAGGCACTTGGGACTTTAGGTTGGCTTGGGTAGTAAAGGCCTGTTAATTTTTAAGGATATATTGTCTGTAATAATATGTTTGCTGCTTTGTTCAATCTGGTTTTTTGCTTACATGATTAGAATTCTGAGATTTAACATGAAAGAAACTTTACAAATGTGAAAGAAACCTTACAAATAGTGGCCACACCACCCAGGCCAACAATCACCCTGCAGTACATTTATGCACAAATACTATATTCAATTATCTAGTGGAAAAAAAAAAAAATCCTTTTTACCTTAGGCGGGGGGGGGGATCAGACCAGGAATGCTCCAAAACCATCGTTCACCCTTAGTCCCCCCAGCAGCATCCTGCTGTCTTTGCTAAGACCTCTGCTGCTCCGTAAGCAGGGCAGCTGCCATCCGTCCCCCCTGCACAGGGCTGCTCGCGGCAGTATGAGCTGTTCTGACGCGTAACGGCGTACACGCTCTTACATCACTCCCGCTGCATGACAGTCATGGACGAGCAGCAGCTTAGGGAGCAGGGATGCGTATGAACTGTGTGTGCCTAGGGCACCGCCGCCGCGGTACACACAGCCGCTATCGGCACCATTTAAATTCAGCTGCGGTGTGTTTGCTCAGGGATGTTAACAACTGGTAATTCCATTTCTTGGGCTTACTGTGGCCACCCACCTGGGACAGCAAATTTTGCAGGAGTATTTATGTACAAAGCTGCTGAACTAACAGCATCCTCCACGTTACCCACTGTCACTTCTGGCAGGACAGCGCTCTGACTGCGGTTTCGCCTTAGATAAGCCCTCGCGTTACAACCACCCTGCAGGCTGCTGCTCCCCGTGGAACACAGTCCCCACGCATGAGACCCATCGATGCTGCACCCCCAGGGATTATCGCCTTGCCTTTCCTCTTCTCAGACCGCGCTAAGGGAAAAAGACACACTTCGTTTCCTACGCTATGAAGAACAGGTAGTCAGTTGGCTTCAAAACCGCTGAGCGCAGCATTCATACATACTGTAGGTACCGGTCCAGAATGGACAGGCAGCCCTTTCTTGAGGTGTCTTTACCTCCGCCACATCCAGACGGCGCAGGGATGGGAAGCAGCCAGCCCACGGGAGCAGACGAAGAGCAAGCTGCCCTCTCCCCGAGCTGCAGGAGGGCGTCAGCCTGCAAGGAACCTCAGTGCCATCACCCTCAGGCCCCCACACACCCACCAGTGACGGGATGCCCCTGTCCCCTTCTCACCGAGGTTGACACTGAACTTAACACTCTGCACCCCCAGATCTTCCTGACCTTCCCCTGCGCCTTATGTTTTTCTTAGGGACCGAAGGCTCAGACCACAGACAGGAACGCACAGGGCTCTAAACGAACACTGCGGCAGAGAGCATGCCGTGCTCAACGCCTGTTGGGATACTCAGGGGTCACGGTCTCAAGGTATGTGCTTGCCGTGGGGATCCCCTTCCCAGTCCCCCATAGCTCTTGTTTATGGAAAATACTGCAGGAAATATTAGGAATTTATTTACCAAACTACTTCAGTTTACTTACTAAAATACCATTTCTAATGCACTGCTATTTTATACAAATCTGAGTTACATCTGTGCATGCATACAAGCATTCTCCAAATTAAAGTCAATATAGTTGCCTATAATTAAAGTTCTACAAAAAAATATTTCTTCAAAACTTTTCTCTCAAGTCCTCTCCAAACACTGCTGTTCTGAACTTCTAGAAGAACGTGTTGCAGAGCTTTAAACCAGTCACTTCAGCGCTCAAACCTAACAAGAGGAATGCGCACTCGATACGAAACAAGAGTTACCGTAAGAGATGCAGGATTCAAAACACGATCCATGTGTACACTTCTTTTTGCTACGACGACTAATGTGCTGAGTGGCGATCGTGGGAGAAAGTATTTGGCACAATTATTTTCTGCAAGACTTCCAAGCCCTTTCTGTGTACTTTATATAGCGTATCAGTGTGCTTTTCACTTAACTGCAATGGTTTGATAAAGCTTGTTAAATATAAACTTGGCTTCTTTTTCTTGGAGGATTTTATAAGCTCTGAGTGAGCCAATTCATCAACACTACGATATTCTCAAAGTTCACAGGCTAAGTTCTTCATAGATGCATGAAGGGGCGGGGAGGGGGGGAACGTTTAATAACTGCGTAAGACTGATTTCTTTTCAGCTTTTTAATCCTTTGGGAAAACAGTAGGACTTTTTTTTTTCTTCCCCCATTTACTTGCTAATTGCTGAGTTTGGGAGTATAAGAGATGGTGCGTCCTTATGTCAGGTTACTTGTAATTACAGAATAAACACTGTTTTGGTGTTACAAAACCAAACCAAAACATGGAGAGCAGCTTCATCTTATTAGTAATTGTTATTACTATTAATAATGCGGCGTTCTGCCTTACAACAAACACTACGTTCTTACGCAATTCCATTCCACACAATAATCATGGCCAAGCTTCCCATTTGTTAAAAACAGCAACAACAACAAAAAAGGACAAAGATTTTTTGACTGAATAGTTACAGTTGAAAGTTGTTCAATTTCCCTTCCAGAAAAACCCCACAAGTGAAGAGATCTCACGCAGAACCAGGGGAAAGTGGCTACAAGGAAGGGTAGCCCAGAGGTCAGTCAGACTTACTAAACAAGAATACATCCTGTTTTCCTCCAGGGAAGACTTTGATATATGCTGGGCTAAAAAGAAGGGGCATCAGAGAGGTACACGTCACCCTTTTGTCTGGATACCTGCAGTGTCCAGGATGCGTTCCCTAGAACTCCGCAGACTCAAATTCTGCAGCGGGAATTATTTCAGGAAGGGCTTTCCTGGACTGTCCCACCCACCACAGCACCATTGGCGTAAGAGGGTAAGATGGTGCTAGCGTACGACCGCTCTGAAGTCCAATCTTTCATTTCTCAGGCAGTCACAAGGCTCTAACTTTGACCTAAATCAAACATCTGATTATAGATCTTTCCAGAAGATTTTCTGAAAAGTAACCTGCTTTCCTATGAGCAGCTGTTCAGGAGGTGCAGAGTGCCAAGTGAGTCTCAGGGAAACACAGCTAAAGTAAGTAGTCTACAGAAGCTTGCCTGTCAGCTCGGGGGATAAAACTAGCTGGACGACTGATGGAGGGTCTGATTTGTAAGACTCCTAGATCTTATGATTTAGCTCCAAACAGGAACAAAGTGCCTATCTTAAATGCTTAAATATTAAGACATAGACATTTTCATCGGTGCCGGGACGGTGAAGACAAATGAAACGCTATTGTAAAACGATGCTACTCTAATGATATCAAGGAATAACAAAAGCCACGTTCTTTGCTTTTAGCATTTCCCTTTTTTCAACAGCTTCAAGGATCACATAACTGCATTTACTGCACTAACGACTTTCCAGTCATTGAAAGGGGGAGCGGAAAGAATCGAGTTTTAATCCAATCTTTAAATTTTTTTAATAGCTGTTATGAGAAAAGTCTCCTAATTCCAATCTTTTCAGCTCCGCTAAGGGCTAAGAAGGAAAATTGCTGAACTATCTTTTAATACAGATAAGGGGTTTTGTTGTTGCTCTGCTGATATCTGGTATTGTGCTTTGTCTTTTAAGTTTCTGCTTTTAATGCTTATCACCCAGATCCCAATGGCAGCAGAAATTCAGAGCCTCATTGAGAAGTTCGTTCTATTTGTCAGAGACTTTATTCATCTGAGTAACCAGAAGAGATTCCTCTGTATTTCACTGTCGTTTGTAGCAGTCCTGAAATAGTTAAATATTAAGCCATCGCTGCATTCCTCCCTCATTGCCATTCCCCCCCATATCCATATCAGGAGAAGATTATCCTTGGTGCCAGATTCCACTGTCTGCATCTGACTAAGTGGTTCAAAGGCCAAATGTAGGAATTCCATTTTAAAAAATACTCATTTTTTTGTTCTCTGAAAAAGCAGCTCCCTAAAGTCACTGCAGGCATTTTTAGAAAAAGGGTAAAGCATCTAAAGAAAAGTAACAACCCAATACCTTTCAAAATCAGCAAAACCATTTAAATAACATTATCAATGTGATTATCATTTGTGCTCTTTGTCATCACTGAACAGACCAATTTCACTGGTCCTCAGCTGGTTTTAAGCTGAGCACCACATTTAAGAGTGCTCGGAAGTGAAAGCTCAGGACCGGTTTACTCAGTGTGCGGTCAAAAAAAAATGAAGGGAGAAAACAGGGAGCAACAAGTCACCAAGCGTAAGCTCAGGAAAAAGTTAAATAATAAAAAATTAAAATTTGAGAGAATGTTGCAGAAGACAGGTACGCTTGCCCAGGCACATGTCCTCTCCTGATGTGGACCAATCCCAGACCACCAGGACGTTTGCAGGATTTGGTCTGGTGCAGGAGGACATCGGTCAGCGTACAGCGCACCAGCTACCCCTTTGCCATGGACGGCCTAACAGAAGTACCACCTCTTCAGGTGGCTAAGCAAAGCGGTGTTTACTGTCACGCTGCTTTGTCAAGGCCTGGCTAAGGCTTCAGGTCCTGAGGCGGGGGGAAAGGAAGTAAAAAGTCCATGCATCACAAAACAACCTAGTTTAAAAACACAGCTTCAAATACTGAGGTCTTCAGCAGATGATAAAGGCTGGAAGACCAGAATTGCCAGTGGTTGCCGGCTACGGTGCTCTCTCTGCTGGGTTTTGCCCATCCTTGTGTGATAAAACAACACCCTCTGTGACTCTCTGGGATACAACAAGGAAACAGCCATCTAAAAAGACACCGTAACTCTTCTGAAGACTTAACAAAACTGAAGGTAAGTCCTACTTCACGATCTGAGTGGATCTAACATCAATTCCCTCCTCTGTTTTCCAAGACAAAGAGTGTCACAAGATGACTGAATTGCTGTCTGCATTCTCCTGTGGGAAACAAAGGCAGCAAGAGCGAGGCTTTCACTTCTCTTTTCAGGCAGAAATATGGGCACCACAGTGCAAATTCATTTTTGAGAACGAGCTTCTTTGCTGCCTCAGCTGGAGAAGCAGATGGTGTGAGGAAACGAACCTAAAGAGGCTCAGTATAAGCCAAACTAAATTAGCTCATATCCACAACCCAGGAACACTGCAAAGATGTCTGATGTAGGCGAGTCAAAACAGCAACAGTTTTAAAGGAGCTGAAGGAATTCACTGAAAAAGCCCCTTCCCTGAGGAAATACAGAGGCAAGTGAAAATCCACAAACATTTTTGGAGGTAGGGAGGGTTTGGCACATCCACATGGCAGATAAGAAGCGCATCAGAGGTTAGCTAAATGTTACCAGTTATTTCAGTTTAAAGTTCTGCCTTGTCTTAACAGCGCTTTCCTCGACAACGTAGCACATTCTTCTGGAACAGAACTGTTTTGCACCTGACCACAGGTTTCAAATCCTAAACAAATGCTTTTGTGCACTTCCTAGATAAACATCTTTGGACTGGGAGAAGGTGGGAAGAGACACCCGTGACCACTACCTAGGTGATACTTTCAAAGTGGCCAGAAGAGAAATGAGAGAAAAGAAAGAGCAGAAAGGAGAGAAAAACAGAGGGAGAGAAAAAAAGACACCAGCTTCGTTAAGGATCACACTACTAGCATCATGCAAATTCCTATCGTCTAGAGCGCAGTTATATCACACACATATGTATATCAAGTATATCTTTAGCAGGGGATAGAAGAAATAATATGAGATTAAAGACACCTACCTATTGACTTGACCTGAGGAGCTATCTGTCCCTGTACTACCTACTGAGGCCAGTCAAGAGTTGCTGGTGCATGACCTGTTGAAATCCTGCTGTATTGTGCACTGAAGCTGTTGAAGCTATGTATGTATAATCCCACACCTCAAAGGGTGGCAGCTGACCTAAATAAATAGTTGATAAACACTTCGCAAAGATCATTTTTCCCTGTGTTTGTTATATGTACCATAACGTAAGCTTACAGTCAGAAAACAAACTTAAAAACCCTTTCCAGACCCCTGTATCTGAGGCATATGTAAGCATTAACTTCAAAATCTAGCCTCTGGGGACAATACAGAAAGACTAATTATAAATAATAAGATTTATACAGAGGATTGTTATGACTCCATGAAAATAGCTGAAAACTATCCCTCTGCTTTAGAATTCCAAAGAACACTTGCAACACGAGACACCTGGGAAGTGCAATGCTTAAAGTCTAGAATAATTGCCATAGAACTCTGTATTTTTAACTATTGGTTCCCATTATATCAAGTTTTGGGAGTCTTTGCTGTATTTCTTCTTAGAATTTTACATCAAAACATTTTTATATTTTCAACTGCATATAGATTGTTTAAAAAATAACCTTGAAAAAGCCAAAAGCACACTCCTCTGAGTAGTGCCAGGATTTATCTTCCCAAATTCTAAGTCAGCTTTTGTCTCCATTTTAAATTTATCAAACTTGTCTACAACAGATAAAACATCAACAGGGAAAAAAAAAAAAAACACGCTTTGTACAAGGAAGAAAATATTTCACTGTGTAATGACCTAAGAGAACACAGCCCAAGAACTTACCACACAGATGCCAAAGCAACTAGAAGAAAACTCCCACGTTGCTTGTACACCTGCTCTGAGACAGCAAACTTCTCCTCCTACTACATTGCTTCAGCAGTTTTCGTACAACGAGCTAAAGGAGAAGGGCTGATCCAACACACCCTCCCTGTCTCTAAAATTAGCAGCAGAACTAAAGATGAAATTGGGTGTTGAGTATTTCTTGGCAGATATGTGTAACACGGCATGTGACAGTAATGTCTTCTGTGGTATGCACTAAAGCTGGTGCAGAAATGGTGCTGTAGATTTCAAAGCAGCTCTTAAAATGACATGTGTTCATGCTATGAGAATCTTTGCTATCTTCAGCTTTTCATATATCCATTTTCATTGATGCAGTCCATAAAATTAGCCTCTATGTTATTTTTATGTAATTTTCCCATTGCTTAGTCATAAACATCCAAGACTACTCAAATTCATACAATATAGGTGACATAACAGTCTTTAGTTAATCAGACACGGTCCCATTTCTTACCATTCATAAGGCTATGGAAATACGCTAAGAGTGACTCTCAACTCCCTGAATTTGAATCCACTGACCACTTATGAGTTATGTTGCATTTCAATAATTTTCAATAAAACATCTTTCATTTCCCCAAAACTTTCATCTGAAAGTGTAATGAAGTTAAGCACTTATACAGGATAATATACTCACAAATAATTTTAGGAAAAAAAAAATACGAAATTTTTGGTTGAATTGCTTCAGAACTTCTGGTATTTTTGTTCAGTAATAAAATCAATTATTTGTGCAGCTTTACCATATGACCGTTTTCAGTTTCATGTCTTTGTTCTCATTGATAAAGTTCCAGAAAAACCCCAAACAGTACAGTGCATGCTTTCACCTCACTGCATCTACAAATTCTGATAAATGAAAGGATGTGTAGAATTACTTACTGAACACATCTCCCCGGGGTTTCTGAGGATCTAGCTGGATCCTGTTGTCATCTGTAGTTCCTTGGGAAGATGTAGTTTCAATGGGAACACGTAAAGGCTCTTCAGTCGTTATCAGAGGAGTTCTTTGTGGTGGTAGTGTAGGTCTTAACGTTGTAGGTTGAGGTGATGTTGGAGGTGGAGGCCTGGTCACCGGCTTCGTTACTGGCCTTGTTGTCACTGGCACATACCTAGTGGTTAGCTTTGGTGTCGGTCGAGTTGTTGGCCTGGGTGTAGGACGAGTCGTTGGCCTGGTCACTGGCCTTTCTGTAACAACAGCAGGTACATACAGCGGTCTGAGGGGCTGCCTTGTGCCTCCAACATCAGCAATCCTATTGGTTTTACCACTGCCTCCCTTAGGGAGCGTGCTGTTGCCCTTAAATATATGATACGGACCAGGTGGTTCAACCGTAACATTAGCAATAACTGCAAAGGGAATCAAAATGGGTCCAAAATGGACATCCGAGTCTCTCACTCCAGAAATCTAACAGTGTATTTCATTACGACACAGGGAGTCTTTGCTGAAATAATTTTTCTTCTTCTGAATGTTTCCACTAATTAGGAATACACCTTAGCATCAGCACTGCTGAATTATCACATCCCTTTAGATAGCGTTTCTCATTACAGCAGTTTAGAGATGACTTAGAATGACTGAAGGCCAAGAGACTTCCGTCCCCACCTCCTCTCAAGCATCAACTCTCTTTCAGAGTTGGCAAAACTTACCCAAAAGCACTGCTAGTAAAAAAGCATGGACAGGAGCCAAGAGATTTCCATCCCCACCTCCTCTCAACATCAACTCTCTTTCAGAGTTGGCAAAACTTACCCAAAAGCACTGCTAGTAAAAAAGCATGGACAGGAAGATGTGTGTTAAGCAGGCCTCTAAACTGGACACGTCTGTAGTCAGGAGCAGAGGCAAGTTTAGTAAGACTGCAATGCCACAACCATTTTGGTTATGGATGCACAGATAAGTTTGGCTTAAGAAAGTTATCTTTCAGACTTCTCCACTTCTCAACTTTTCCCCTCGTCAATAAGCATTAATCATTTTGCAGAGATTGAACCTAAGCCAATAGCCTTCATTTAGATCTTTACCTTTGCGAAACACCAGGAAATGAAGTAAATGGCATTTTTTCAGCCTCCACAAAAAGGAGGTGAACTGAGCACCACCCACACCACAGTGACAGTGCCTACAGAACCAGCTCCCCCAATATTTCATAAAGAAAGGACAAAAAATTTTAACTTGGTTTCACAAGGGGAGTTTCTGCAGACATGAAACATAAGAACATCGGTTTTGTTATTTATAATTTTCTATTTGTTAATAAGCCTTTTATATCTTGCTGGAGATCTTAAAAGCCCCAATAATACTCTAGTCACATATTTTCTGTACAAGTGTTTCAAACACCACACACAGTTTAAAAGAACTGCTGTTTGTTAAACAATGAATTGTTTGATGATAGCAGGTAAAAGGTTTTCTCTCTGGCCACCTGTTTATGACTATTCTTTGGAATACCCTGCGGTTTTTACATTATGGTATATCAAAATATAAAACGCACCTTAGGACTATGTCCCAGTAAAGCATGCAAACCATGTCCACATACAATTGCAAGCACTCAGGTTGTGAAAGATCACCTTAGCCAGATCACGCGTGCCCACATACAATTGCAAGCACTCCGGTTGTGAAAGATCACCTTAGCCAGATCACATTACCCCATGACAGCTATAGCCAAAGGAAGCAAGTCTGCAACGGTACCGCTCTTTGAAGAGATCAGTGAGTCACCAAAGAGCAGAACCCACGTATGAACACAGGGCCCTTGAAAAGACTCATCAGACGTTATAGAGCTGCACAGTCCCGAGGGATGTCAAATGTGGGGGAGCTCTAATGGTCTATTCTGTACCAAAGGGGATGGCTGCTTCTCCTAAGAGAAAGGTGAGAATGGGAAATCTTGCAGAGAAATCCTCCCTCTGGGCTCTGCTCACATCTGGGGAGCGGTGGGGAGGGGATGGGGCGAGCTGCTGAAACGGGCCAGTTGCAGAGTGTACATAGTAACAGGGCATGAGCAATAGGTACTGTTTGGTCAGACCGACCCTGCTTACTCAGTTGTTCTCATCCTGAAGCAATCTCTAGAATCAAGCTGTGAATAGGGAGACGTAAATTTCTTTCTAATTGCGAAAATGTCTCAGGGAAAGGTATTTTTACCAAGGCATCCTAAGACTTAGAAAACTCTGACTACATTCCCTGGCCCCTTATTAAGTATTAAAAATAGTTAAGAGAAACTGAGCCTGAGAGTGCTATATCTCAAAATTTACAACATGGGATACATTTACTTTCAGAATTCCTTTTTTAAAAGGAGCATTACGTACGTATGCAGTTTGTTCCATTGTCTCTGTACCCTTCTTTACACTTGCATTTGTAGGATCCTGGTGTATTGTAACATCGTGAAAAACTACCACACTGATGGTGGCCAAGGGAACATTCATCTATATCTGCAACAGAAAGTGACATAAAAAAAATTAATGTACATCAAAGTCACTTGACTTTCCGCTTATCCCTGCAAAAACACAAACAGTAGTATGGTCATTAGAAAAACAGTATTAATTTTGAAAAACTTAGTAAAGCTGAACTGCCAGTGCGAAAAGGAAGACAGACAGCCACAAATCAATGTGGTGATACAAACGTTAGGGTGAAAGGGACTACTGTGCAACTCTAGTATTGCTCAGTTTATCCCTTAGCATCAGCTTCCATGATGTGCTGTGGGTAGATCGCAGTTGAGATCATGAAGATTACAATTTTAATAACTGCTTCTTAAAGGTGACATGACAAGGAAAGAAAAACTGAGTGTAGGAATATGTGTGTTCTCTAATCACACAGGTATGAAACTGTTTTTTTCATAAAATGCTTCCTCTATTATACATCTGTATAGCTGTTTCTCTACATCAAGCAGAAACTGCTTGAAACATCTTATATGGCATTTCCATGTTTGTTGTTAGTAATGCAAGCAAAAATCTCCAAATTCCAGTGTTCCTTTTTCCAGTGAAAGGATCATAACCAGTTGAGGCCCTGGGAAACTAAGACAGTGGGACCTGGGAACATCTTTGTTGAAGGGCATACACCAGCTGCATGCCAGTCTCATGTCCAGACAAAGACAGGTTATTTCCCAACCCCTGCCTTTTCCTCACCTGTCTCCAGGGGAAGGGAAGCTGTGCAGCCTGGGTTGGAAGGAGCTGGGGTGCGCTCTAGCCACATTTTCTTATCTTGGATCTTGGGGCATGCTACGGAGCACACCTGCGTTACAGCTCAGACGTAGCCTAAACTCATACGCTGCTCCCGACCTACAACTGCCCGTGCACAGTGAAATCTGTGGGGACAAAGGCTTTGGAAAGGAATTTCTGGGGTCATCAGCTCTGCTCTTCCACTAGCTTCCACAGGAGAACCAGTTAAAGAATGGTGGCTAAATTTATGCTTTCTTTTTCACAGTCTATTTCTATAATCCACCCTTTCCTAAAACAAAGATGCAGTGCAACCGAAGACAACCTGCATCAACATTTCAGCCATAATAAGTTAAGATTCCTCTTTAAACCGTTAATTTCAGTTTAAAATACGCAGCTCTATTACACGCACATAAGAAATAAGGTGTTATTACCATAGCATTGGTATTTGCCTCCAATGTACATTAGATCAAAGCCCTTATGACACTTGCAAACGTAGCTTCCAAAAGTATTGACGCAGTGCCTAAATCGTGGACAGATAACTCTCCCAGTAGCACATTCATCAATATCTGTAGAAACAAAGGAACTGTATTATTCCTAATAGCAGTTAAAATACAATCTATAGTATCTAAATTAAACTGATTTCATGTAATGAAAAATGAAAGAAGAATAACCAAAGTATTTTTGATAAGGTCTTTTTGGCTACAAAGCTGGTCAGGCAGCAATAATACCTGAGCACTTCTTCGGACTGTGCCGTCTCAGCTCAGCTCTTGGTCGCACGCCCAAATTTTTATGCCTCCTCTGCCAGCAGCCTTTACAACTACTGTGAGTGACAAGAGATG